AGTTAATATTTTCTCAAAACACAGGAGCTTCGACTAAAACTCATCAATCTCATATGGATTCTCTTGTCATTTCAAATAGAATAAGGTTGATGTAAAATAACTTTTTCTTTCTGTAAGGGCATCAGAAGTTAAGCCTTGGTTACTTACACACCAAATCTGTATCTTAGTGATGCCATCTGAAGGTATTTACATCACAGACTGAGAAAGGGAAGTAGTAAAACACCAGTGAAGCACAAGACCATTTATCTGCCACCATACTAAGCTATTTCTGTATTTTATAGCTGATTAGTTAAACAGTTTGTTTTTAAAATTATTTTCACATTTTTCCAAACTTCTGAAAAAAAACATAAGATAACAGAATTGTCCTTAAGCAATAAATTGAAAACTTTGACTACTTCTAAATTCTATTACTTTGAATATTAACCTGAAAGTTGCAGGAACAGTTTTCAACATTAGCTCACTCAGTAAATGACAATCTTAGGTTCATTACATTAACTGTACAATGTGGCCCAGGGGTTTCTGTAGTCCTCCAGGACATAATTTAATATTTCCAAGACTGGGGGGGGGGGAAGGCTTTAACAGGCTTTCACTACCACAGAATATAATAAAAGTGCAACTACTTCTACACTCATCTCTCGCCACTCCCATCGAGCTGAAAATCTGCTTGAAAAACACTTATTTTTGCATAGGGTACATCAGCTCCTTCACTTCTCACCAGAACAACAGCGACAGTGAAAAGCTGAGAAACATCCATCAATAATTATGTAGAGATATTATGATTCTGCACAGAAGCTGTGATGAATACATCCAGCTTTATTTCTAAAAAGGTCATATACCGGGTTCAAAAACGTGGAACTGATTTTGAGCTCTCTTCACTGCTCATCCCAGCCATTAAGACAGAAGCAGAAAGAAGCAGCTGAGGGAAGAAGCTCTACCACTGTGACAGAAAAGTAGCAAAACTGGACACCTGAACACACTGTATATACTATAAAGCAAAGAAATGTAACTGCTAGAAAGAAACTCAAGTTGGGTTTTTTTGATATAATGGATTTATTATCCCAAACTGAAATGCTTTTTCCACTGTTAATTTTAAGGGTTTAATTTGTCACTAAAATAAAATTTCTTTCTTGTGAAGCAACACAAATAATTGATTCTAAACTTAAAAATTATTTACTAGCTACAATTCTGTCGTAACAAAGATAATCTAATCTGCTGTGACTCATTTCAAGGTTAAAAAAAAAAGGAAAACTTCAGCATAAGCATCTAAAATTTCTGAAATTACTTACCACTCAGTGCAGGGTTGCTGAATAGCTGCTACAAGAGTAGCAAGTTACTTTGACTCGGAAGATATTTATTTGAGAGATAAGTGCTCTTGACTGAAAATACAATACCATTTAACTAGGACATTGATATTAAAGCTACTAATGACAACTATTTATCTTCAGAATACTGAAATACATACTTTGTATTTGCAGAAAAATGCAAATAAATGAGTATACTCATCTTCTTCCACAACTGACCTTGTAAAGGAGTTAAATGACTGTTACACCTGTAGACATAACCATCACTTCCTCACTTAATTCAAGTGGAGGCCACTGTAACATATTTTTAAATCAGAGGTCATCGTAACAGGACTAAATTTGGAGCTTTGGCAAAGAAGCAAAAACAACTAGACCACTTAAAAACCTGCAGTGTGGAAACCAGCATACTTCTGGCACTTGTACTCTTACAACTGTCCTAACTTTGTTCCAATTTCAACACATTCAGTGGGTAAATGAATGAGAGGTTTCTTCATGACTTTTTGTTTTGTTTGCTTGCTTGTTTAGGAATGAAATATTCCTGTATTTACTTAAAAGAGGTCCTCATAGAGCTCTTACAAATAAGACATTGGAGATCTACTGAAAATATTTATATTGAATAAAGGTCACGAATCATAACTTGTGATCAGCAACATTCATTGACAAATCCCACTTTTGATTGTCAAAAACTACACACACTTTGCTTCTCACTGATCTAGCATAAAAGAAAAAAAGCCAGGCTTTAGCACATTACAACCCAGGTATCATAATCCTGACAAACAAAACACCGTACACGAACGAAAGACCTTAACAGAGCTAATCTGGTCTTTAACTGACTAAGCAATATTTTCAGAAGTGAAAGGTTAAGACCTTTCTTTGGATCTCTAAATAGCAATTTCAACAACAAGGATTTGTCCAGTTCCATATGCACAACTACTAAAACTTTTTGGGAAAACTAAGCAACCTGTATATTCTTTATATCATCAGTATAATCAAGTTTTTTTCAGGTTGCGAAACTTTTTGCACAGCAAATTAAGGATCTGGTATATTATTTAAATGCTCTTGGCCTCTCTTTATGAAGAGTAAATCATTGCAGATACTGTCCTGGTTTGAGCTAAAGGAGAACCTCTTGTTTCAGCACAGTCTTTTCCAAGAAGCTGCACTTTCTGAAGTTAGCAGTCTGTTTTTGCAGACAGTGTGTGCTACTGGCAGTGATAACACCTGATATTTACAGTTACTGCCAAGGACTGGGATGCAGAAAGGCTCTTGCTGATACTTGCTCCTGTAGTGACCAAGGTCACTACTTGATCTTGTGTGCCAATCTGGGAGTGCTGGGAAGCAAAAGGGTTGTACGGAAGTAAAAAGATTTCACCCTCTGAGGAGAAACGGACAGGGCAGGTGACCCAAACCTGACCAGCAAGAGCATTCCATTCCATATACATCATATTCAGTATAAATCTGAGGGATCATGGGTGTTAAGCTCTTATGTTCAACGTCCAGTGTCCGAGGAGGACTCCACCAGTCCTTCTGCCTTTGATCCTTATCCTGAACGTAGCTCCTGTACCCAGCTCCCCCGTCACTGAGCCTGGAGCTGCCCCAGTGCCGCCTGTTCTGCAGCACCAGCGGGGTCTGCTATCAGCAGAGGGAGTTCAGTTCAGTATTGTTTTGTTATCTGTCAGTACACATTTTGTTATTTTCATTCCTTCATTATTAGTACTATTATTGTTTTAAAGCTGGTTTAGTTTGCTTTTCCAATCCATAAGACTCTCTGCCTCATTCCCTTTTCTGTCCCATTTGAAGAGGGAGACGGGTTAGAGAGCATCCGTCAGCGGTTTAGTGGCTGGCCCGGCCCGAACCTTTGACATAAGACATCTCAAGAATGGTGCTATTCTTTCCACAAACTCATAGAAAACTGCAGCACGTGGATGCAGAAGCTGTTTATGTAAATCAAGATGGATTATCAAATAAAATGGTCATACCTGATTATGTAAATCAAGATTTCTAAGTATCTGTGAAATGCTATTCCCAGTTTTATTACATAATTAATTCCGAACTGAAAGAGGAGACTCATCTCCAACCTTTCTTCTAGACATATCCACTACTTCCAGTAGTCACAAAAGTACGGAATTTCAACGGTCTTCTGAAACAAAACAGAAAGTGGATGCGTGCAACAAGCTACAGTCCCTATGCACCTACCAAGCCAACCGTAACAATACATTTTTGATACTGATCACCAAAGAGTATGTTAGGTCCAAAAGTGCTTTTTTCTGCCCTCTTTTTCCCCATTCTTTTTTTGTTTTGTGTTGTTTTGTTTTTGGCAAGAGACAGATGGCATACAAATGGGAGAAGCTGCTCTGGTTCTACTTCTAAGCACAGAAACCAGGAACGGATGCAAACTGAAATGTTTCTCTAATGCTTTTTTTTTCCCCTCTCCCTTCCAACTGAAAGTTACCTCTGGTCACTACCTGTCTAGGCTGAACAGCAACAGCTTCCAACAATATCTGGGTATTCAATGAGGATTTAAGAAAATGATTGATAGCTATACCTAATATTTGCCAGCAGTATGATTGCAGCTACAACACGACCTAGACAAAAGAAGAAAAAAAGCTGCCCCTCTCCATTTCACAGCTAAAATTAAGCACAAAGATTCAAAGAAAAACAAATATTTCATCCTTTTTCACATGCACAGGAAACTATAAGCCTTCTTTTCCT